TGCGCAGTACGACCTGGACTCCACCTCCTGCCTCCAGCGCGCCGTCTGCTCCTACGTCGCCTCCTCCGACGCCAGCGTGAGCGACGGAGACGCCGGGGCTACGGAGATGATTGTCTCGGGACTCGCCAGGTGAGGGAGAAGGGGGGGGAGGGGAGAGAGTGGAGGGGGAAAGGGGAAGGGGAGCGGGGAGGGGGGAGGAGGAGGGAGGAGGGGGGAAGGGGAGAAAGTGGAGGGGGAAAGGGGAAGGGGAGCGGGGAGGGGGGAGGAGGAGGGAGGAGGGGGAAAGGGGAGGGAGGAGGGGGGAAAGGGGAGGGGTAAGGGAAGGGGAAGGGGAAAAAGGGAGGAAGGAGGAAGGAAGGGGAAAGGAGAGGGGCGTAAGAAAAGGGAGGGAGGAAGGAGGGAGGGAGAAGGAGGAGGGAGGGGGAAGGAGGAGGGAGGGAGGAGGGGGGAGATGGGGAAGCGGAGAGGGAAGGGGGAGGGAGGAAGGGAAGAGGCAGTCAGAGGATTAGATGAAGGAGGAGGAGGAAGAGAAGAGAGAGGCTCTGAGGTATTAAAAAAAGTTGTTTGCATAATCCACAAGCAGGGTCTAACCGTGAATTATGCAAATATCTCGTAGCTATAAAGATGGAACAATGATATAATTAGTATTATAGTTATTATTAATAATAACTATAATAATCCTGATGACGAATAATAATCATATAAATAATGATAATAACAATGACAAAAACAACTAAAGGAGATGATAAGGATACTAACGAAGATGATAATGATAATACTGATACGATCACTACTAATAATGATACTACTAATAATACGAGTAAAGATGATCAATACGAGTTGCTTACAGTATGCAAACCTCCATCTGATATGAATAAGTATGCCACAAAATTTCAAAAGAAAATGGATTTGCATACGAGACTCATTTGCATTATAGATCTGTACGTGGATCTGGTTCATTATAAACAACGGTTCCCTGGGCCATGGCCAGTTCACCCATAAGGTCTTTTTTTGACAGTCATTCAGTTATCTTAGTTATAATTCTGATTCAGCTATCTTAGTTATAGTTCTGATAATCATGTTTGTAATTATGTAATTCGTCAATAGCATTAGTATCGTCATTATTATTATTTTTCTTACTTATCTATTTATTCATTTATCTATTTTATTCATTTTACTCACAAAGACTATTAATATGGGTTGCTATTCACTAGCATAAATAGTATCATATTATTATGCACTACAAATATATCACACAGTCAGTAGGATAGGTAGA